AAAAAAAAAAAAAAAGGTCTGACTTCTCATAGTAATAGACCATTAAATCGGATTAACATTAAAGCTTTTATCACAATCACACAGTGTAAAAGGATCTTAATTATTCAGACAAAAGATGAAAAATCTCCATACCGGTCTTCAAACAGGAGTTTGGATCTAGATTTAGAGCCATCAGAGAGAGGCGGCACTGCAATGGGATTCTCTGTTTTAGAGCTTTTCTCCTGGGAAGAAAAAAAAAACTAGTCTTAATAAATGTCTAAGGATTCGTAAATCAAGATACATTTATAATGACAAAAGAAGTCTAGCTTTCTGAGAAACTGAAATCGGATTAACATTAAAGCTTTTATCACAATCACACAGTGTAAAAGGATCTTAATTATTCAGACAAAAGATGAAAAATCTCCATACCGGTCTTCAAACAGGAGTTTGGATCTAGATTTAGAGCCATCAGAGAGAGGCGGCACTGCAATGGGATTCTCTGTTTTAGAGCTTTTCTCCTGGGAAGAAAAAAAAAAAACACGTCTTAATAAATGTCTAAGGATTCGTAAATCAAGATACATTTATAATGACAAAAGAAGTCTAGCTTTCTGAGAAACTGATCCAAGACGATCAAGAGTTTGTGACTGAAACAAAAAACAAATATCTGCTGACTGGCTCAGTAAAATCAACTTAATTCAAATGGAAAACAAGTTTTCATTCCCCACTGGCAGATGTTTTAAGCTTAAACACTTTAATTTTGTTCAATTTTTCAAGACTTTACATTTGCACCTCAGGTAAATGTTTAGATGTTTCTATTAGAAAACAAAAATTTTTTTTTGTAAATGCATGAAATATTTAATATTTACATTTGCACCTCAGGTAAATGTTTAGATGTTTCTATTAGAAAACAATTTTTTTTTTGTAAATGCATGCAATATTTAATAACATGACTATGAATTTAAGACTTGCTGTTCTGAGTTGAGACTCGCAGAAGCCCTCGCTATGGCAAAACAAAGTCTAAAGAGTTAGAAAATACTAAGCAAAGGCATGCTTTACATTTGCACCTCAGGTAAATGTTTAGATGTTTCTATTAGAAAACAAAAATTTTTTTTTGTAAATGCATGAAATATTTAATAACATGACTATGAATTTAAGACTTGCTGTTCTGAGTTGAGACTCGCAGAACCCCTCGCTATGGCAAAACAAAGTCTAAAGAGTTAGAAAATACTAAGCAAAGGCATGTACATAGACACACACAAATACAATGAAAAGGTGGCACATATGCATTTATGTAGATTGTAAAACTATGCACGTATTAAAAATATGAAATTTTCCTTGCTTTGAGGCTGACGGGACAGAACTGTCAGTTTAGTACTGCATTATTACATAAGTGTTGCAAAACCCTCCATACGTCACTGTACATACACGTGTTGCGCAAAAGGCAGAGACTGTAAACACTGGCAGCATACAGAGGGCCACAAGCGCAAACACACCTTGGCATCCCTGCGTAAGGGCTTGTCGTCGCCTTTGCGGTGTTTGGAGTTGGAGCTGCTCTTGCTGTTGGGTACGGAGGCGGAGGACTGGCTGAGCGTCCGCTTGCGGCCCTGGTGCTCTGATTTGGGCGTCCGCTGCAGCGTGATGGAAGGAGAGGGCGCAGACTCCTTCTCTTTGTCCTGAGCACGCTTAGATGAGCTACAGAAAACATTTAACATGATTACCAAACAGCTTGGGACAATTATTTACACTGCTCTAAAGACTCTACTGATGTGAGAGGGTAATGGTCTACTATTCAATTTAGTGCAATAGAAAATAGCCTTTCACTCTTTTCAAGACATAATTTTTTACATACATATTACATAAGCATATATATTTATGTGGCCAGAAAAATATGCCAAAAACTATAATATACCACAATGTCATGCATTTTAATGCTTTTGTAGAACGAAAAGCCAGTGTTTAAAAAAAAAATACAAATAAATAAAAAGAAGTCAATGTCAATTCACAAGTTATTTGTGACCCTGGAGCACAAAAGCAGTCGGGACAATTATTTACACTGCTCTAAAGACTCTACTGATGTGAGAGGGTAATGGTCTACTATTCAATTTAGTGCAATAGAAAATAGCCTTTCACTCTTTTCAAGACATAATTTTTTACATACATATTACATAAGCATATATATTTATGTGGCCAGAAAGAATATGCCAAAAACTATAATATACCACAATGTCATGCATTTTAATGCTTTTGTAGAACGAAAAGCCAGTGTTTAAAAAAAAAAACAAATAAAATCAATGGAAAGCTTATTTATTCAGCGTTTTTAAAATTTATTTATGATGTATAAATCTCAATTTCGAAAAATTGACCCTTATGACTGGTTTTGTGGTGATTCCAGATTTTCAAATAGTTGTATCTCGGCCAAATATTGTCCGATCCTAACAAGCCATAAATCAATGGAAAGCTTATTTATTCAGCGTTTTTTAAATTTATTTATGATGTATAAATCTCAATTTCGAAAAATTGACCCTTATGACTGGTTTTGTGGTTCAGGGTCACATTTATGGTTTACTACAATTTGCAGATACATGTGATCCGGCATATAAAAGTAAAAGAGGATATTACACATTGGTGCATTTTTGTAACTAGAATTGTTTTAAATGTGTCCCTTGGCAATCAAAATAAGACACTTGTTTTGCACCAATGGAATACACATTGTTAAAATTTGATGTCCATTCACTAAAACATTTTGGATGGACATGTCAGCGGTTTAAAGGCAAAGATCTTCCAGTTGCTTGCTCAAAGGTATATGAAAATTTAGTTGAGATTTAAAATAATAATTTTAAATATTAAAATAATGCATGTACAGAAAGTTCACCAACATGAATATTTGCTTTTCAGTTCTAAAATTTGAGGGATTAAAGCAGAATGAACTCACTCTTTACTGCTGGATTTGTGCGATGACTTTTCATCCAGTTTGGACTTCTTGCTGTCTGGTTTGAGACCATCTTCATCATTCTGTGGGAGAAACAAGATTTAATAAAAAGGTACAATATCGTTCAAATGTTTAAGAATAGTACGATTTTTTTTTTTAATTGGTACAGCAAGGGCAAGGGCACATACTGACAGAATGATTTCTGAAGATCATGTGACACTGAAGACTGGAGTAATGATGCTGAAAATTCAGCTTTGATCACAGGAATATATTACGGTTTACAATATATATTCAAATAGAAAATAGATATTTAAATTGCAATAAAATCTCACAACAGCAAATGTAGCCTTAGTGAGCATAAGAGGCTTTAAAAAATTTTTTTTTAATGACCCCAAACTGTTGAACAATAATGTGCGTTTACAATTAAACCAAGCATACAACCAAAACCCATGCTCAACATGCTTTAAGCGGCTGACCAATCACAACAGACTGGGTGATCGGAAGGTGGGCGTTTAACGAGATCGGATCTACAACAGAGCGTTTCTGGCAGAGGGTGAAAAGAGGTGCTGAAGCAGTGTCTTTAAATATACCCCAAAATAAAATCCCCACAAAACAGCTTCCACCAACCTTGTGTTTTCTCTTCCCCTTGCTGGCTGCCTTTTCTCCCGGCTGTTTCTGCAAGTCTTTTCCTTCAGCAGGGGAGCTCCTCTCCGCTTTCACCTCCGTTTCCTTGTAGACTCGACCAGGCACTCTGGACAGCAGACCGAGTTCGATCTGCACCACCAGTCTGGACAGCAGCCTCCCTTCTTGGTCACTCAGCGGGGAAAGCATGGGCGAGAACAGGACAGACGGGTTCTCGGCATACTGCTCTCTCGGCGTCTGCGAAGACGAGGGGACGCTTTCGTTGCCCTCTGAGTCCGACGATGACGAGTCGGATTCTATGAACTCGCGGGACTTGCTGGCCGTTACAAAACTGGAAGTAAGTAAAAATTTATAATATATAACCAATTAAATAAAAAACGTAGAAAGTTTATTAGCAAAACGAATAAGAAAGCTTGGAGCCACGGAATACACCTTGATGTCAAATAAAATAAATAAATTACAGTTTAAATAAAGTAAAAATCAGCAAACAATGTAGAACCAATTAAATAAGAAACGAATGTTAAAAAAAACTTCCATAATCAGCTTAGATAAACGGCAAAAGTCAACAGGCTTTTCAAAATTCAAAATACTGCCAAACAGGAGCTTTTGCATCTCGTTTCGACACTAAATCATCCGCGATCGTCTTGTGTCTCGCCTCACTCTTCTTCTCAGTCAGCTAGACTCACTCTCCTCACTGGAGAAATTAAATCTGATCTGTGATGCGACTGTCGTTCGGCACGCTGCATTGAGCAGCCACGTTCAGTTTTTAATTGTAGTGTCTGTTCTTTTACTGAACTATATTATTTTTATTACTATAACGGTGGGCAAGTGACGCAACCGTGACGGTGTTGTGGCTTAACACTGGTATCACCGTCAACACTATCGCGGCAAGCCTAATATACACGCATCATATTGTTGTGCATTTTAATGTGAACATTCAAGCGCAAGAGAACTCAATTTGGACACAAATATACACAATTACGCTAACATTAGTGCTGTCAATCAATAAAAAAAAATAATTGCACATTTTCATGTAATTAATCACAATGAATTGCATATTAATATATTGTTATAATTTCACATTGAATCTCTGTATTAGTGTAGAAACAACATAAAGATGGTATATTTTAAATATGTGACCCTGGAGCACAAAACTAGTCTTAAGTCGCTGGGGGATATTTGTAGCAATAGCCAACAATACATTGTATGGGTCAAAATTATAGATTTTTCTTTTATGCCAAAAATCATTAGGATATTAAGTAAAGATCATGTTCCATGAAGATATTTTGTAAATTTCCTTGTGTAAAAATATTAAAACTTAATTTTTGATTAGTAATATGCGCTGCTAAGAACTTAATTTGAACAACTTTAAAGATGATTTTATCAGTATTTAGATTTTTTTGCACCCTCAGATTCCAGATCTTCAAATAGTTGTATCTCGGCCAAATATTGTCCTACCCTAACAAACCACACATCAATGGAAAGCTTATTTATTCAGCTTTGATGTACCAGATGATGTATAAAGCTCAATTTCAAAAAATTGACCCTTATGACTGATTTTGTGGTCCAGGGTCACATATGTGTTTAATGGCATCTTTTTACTAAGTAGCCTATTATTAATGAAGACCAGTACCATCGATACCAATACTGTGACTGATGCCTCATATAGATAAATCTTTATTCAAGCTACAAAAGTGAATCAGCGAGCAGAGCAGTGACTAATTCTCTTTTCTTTTGTTCTCTGATTTCCATCAATGACAGACTGCAGCAGGTTTCACTTTAAAAACAGCGCTGTCTCTTTAAAACCTGACGCACGTTACGCGGATCTGACACACTTCTAGTTTTCTCCCTTTACGGTCATTTAGGACTTTAACTCATTTAAGACCAGGTTTACGAGGTCACTCACCAAAAATGTGCATTTTGACAAAATGTTGTGTGTTTTTGTCTCTGAAAGAGAACTCCGTGCTGCATTAATTGTGTTATATATTTTTAACGTGTTAAACTGAAAACAAAAAAATTATCGCACAATTACCGTGTTAATTCTGACAGCCTTAGTTAAAATACACTCGTAAAAACAGTTGGTTTTGTCTTAAGTGAATGTAAACCGTTGAGAAAAACGACGCATGTGCATCAGTGTATTGGATCTGTGCGTTCGGTCTTAAAGTGACAGCAGTCAAAGAACAAAAGTAAAGAAAAATCACTCCCTGATCTTGACTGAATAACAATTTTTCTAACTTTAATAAAGATTCATCTACATTTTATTTATAACAAAAAACCTACAGTGTTATTTTAAATTTGATTTCAATTTCTGTATTGTATTATTTGTGCTACTGCTAATTCGTTTATTGGTTCTTATTTTAGTTTTGTACTGACTGTCTACTTGTCTTTAATAATATTGACAATCTTTATTAGTTAGTCTAATTGTTTTTGCAGTGTTATTTTTGTTAAACCCATAAGCAAAAGTTCCTTTTTGCTGCTTATTTTTTATTCTGTAGGCTGCTGATTTTTGGTCATGGGATTCAGCTGCAAAAAAATGCTTGCAAAAAGACACAGAATAAATATGTTTGATATCTAAATGTTTTACCCTATTGGAATCAAAACCGGTAAGAACTGGAACCGAAAAGCAGAATCGGAATGGCTTAAACGATCCTCAAACCTACATACTTTATTATAATCGAGCAATCCTGCTCTGCAGTAAATCAGCGCTTGACCTGATGAGTTGATCTACATGTGCGTGTGAAGGTTGTGTTTGTGCAGGCGATTCACCTCGGGTGACGCAGGACGAGGTGGCTCGTTGTTCTCACTGTCTGTAGAGCTGCTCTCGCTCTCGCTGTCAGAGCCGGAGCTGCTCTCTGAACCGCTGTGACTGCTGGTGTCGTCTCGATCAGGAGCCTCGCTGTTATTACTGTTGTTACTGGGGTAGACATACAAATTGATTACCTTCTTGTTGGCTACGTCTTTCCTCATGCATTCACTACAACTTTGCAAAGGCAAAAATCCAAGTAAGATGATGACAAAACATACCTTGAGCAAGAGTATTTACCAAAAGCTTCCATAATGAGCATTGTGCATCTTTTTACCTGTCATTTACAAGATTCACGTAGGGCCGTTTGCACCTGCTGTGCGCGAGTTACAACTTAGCCTAGTTTGGACATAAAGAGGCACTACGTTACAGCATACACACTACTAAATGCACTACTAAACTTTGTATACCATGTATAAACTAAATATTTACTCCAAAGTCCATGAGCAGGAGGAATAAAATAGAAGATTGACTGAATTGCACCAAATGAGCTCACGTTTCACTTCAATCTCTCGCATTTTAAGAAAGAAAACATTGTGAAAAATTACTTTGTTAGTGGCTCTTCAACACAAACCCGATCTAAACAGCGTGCCTAAAATCAGTAATAAATTTCTTTCTTTTTTTTTTTTTGCATCAGTATTTACTTATTGCTATTAATTTCAAATACAATTTCTGAATGTTATTTACATCATCATTTAGGGCTGTAAAAAATGTGTAAATTTTCTGATTAAAATAATTACCTCAATTCTTTTTTTTTTTTAAATACATGCAGGTGTACAGTAATTGCTGAAATAAGTAAAATTATTAATTATGAATAAATATAAATAAGAAATACTATTATAAGGACCTATACTCGCATAAAAACATTGACTGACGCATTTCAGGTTGTGCTGCGAACAGGAAAGGTAACTGCTATTTTTTTTTTATTTTAAGATTAACCTATATATGATGTTTGATTGTGTGTTATGTTTGACGCATTATAGGTTGCGCTGCTAAAAGGAAAATAAACTTTTTTTTTTTGTTGGTACTAACTAACTAAAACCAAAGGTTTTAACAAGTAGTTTTCTTATTGCAAAAATGGATGTGGAAAATAAAATGACATCCCTATATTACTATATACACTATAAACAACACACTATATTAAAGGCATAGCTAAATGTGACATTTATTATAATGGCTTTATGTGAAGATCGTTCACTTAAATACCTCACATAAATTAAGTTACAATATTCTTTTAATGTTCTGTAACAGTTTAGGCCTATTAAAATGTAAAAAATGATGGCACAACTTCAGTGTTTACTCATTTTATCCCCAGTAATTGATTTTTAAAAAATCCATCCATCAGTAACGGAGGCATCAGTATTGGTGATACTTGCCTTCATTTATAGTACTTAGTAAAAAGAAGCTATTATACAAACACTTACTGTATATACTGCCATATACTGTTGATTCTACATTAAAAATTGTTATCATAATTATATTTTCACATTGAATCTCCTAATTAACGTTAGGTGCGATTAATCAGTCACAGGAAAATGTTTGATTAATTAGTTAATGTTTTAACTGACAGAACTAATAAAAATTCTTACAATGTTTTTTCAAGTGGAAATCAATGGAAGGCCATTTTTACCATTAGCTGCATGACGCAAAAGTAGTTAGAATCAAGGATAAACTGAAATTTACAGCATGTTAATATAACTTCTGCATGTGTTTGCTATTGGATCTTTGAGGGTAAACATCATATCTGACTATGCATTACTTTTTTTTTTTATAGAGTTTATGACCTACTACCTACATTCTGCCTTAAGAACAAATGGTGCAACCAAATAAAGTACACTTATTAAACTAGCTAGTAGTTACTAAGTCTCTAGCATGGACTTCTCGCTCGTTTTCATCACTTGTGCACCGACTAGTTCACTAAAATGAACATTCAATCAGAGTTCTCCCTCTCACCGACGGCCCCGACACAGATTTAACATGCTGAATCGGGCAAACTGCTGCCAACGTGTGGAACACACCAAAAAAAACTAGCCCGACAGGTACACAAAATGCATCACTACAAAAGAGCGAAGAGCCGGTCTCATAAAATGATTTCTAGAACTTACTTTGTGCCCCAAAAGACAGGTGCTGGGCATCCTACAACAAAGATAACAGTTATACATTTATTACACATGACATTGTTGCACTGGTTTTAAAAGCTAAAACGTTAGATATAAAAGTTCAAAATGAATCTGGACACTTTCTGAAACTATATCATCATTTGTTTGCTGAACAAACGAATGCAATGACATTCATAGACTTTGTGCAGATTATGGGTCTAAATATGGTTTTGCGTGTTTTTAGCATTTATGCATGTAGGTATTTTTTTCATTATTGTTGTCTGAATGACTCATTGTTTCTATTATATCTTCCAAACATGATAAAAATGGACCGAGGTGAGTGTGCGGCAGGTGTCCTGCTGCTCTGTGAGCCTTTCATTTCTGACCTTGGAGGTGGAGAAAGGAAATTTTGATGGTTCTGTCTTGCAGGGCGTGTGAATGGCTGTTAGCGGAGGAGGCCAGACCTGAGTCATTTCCTGATGGAGAAACAAAAATGCAATCGAAAGAGCTTAAGCTCGTTTTGAACAATCTTTTCCTTCAATGCTTTGACAACTCAATGGAGGCGTCATTAACATGCGTTTCATGGCTGATGTTTTATAGTCGAATTGCATTTGCACCTTCATTCTGAGATCTCAGCGACACTTTACATATGTGACCCTGGACCACAAAACCAGTCATAAGGGTAATTTTTTCGAAATTGAGATTCATACATCATCTGAAAGCTGAATAAATAAGCTTTCCATTGATGTATGGTTTGTTAGCATAGGACAATATTTGGCTAAGATACAACTATTTGAAAATCCGGAATCTGAGGGTGCAGAAAAATTAAAATACTGAGAAAATCACCTTTAAAGTTCTTAGCAATGCATGTTACTAATCAAACATTAAGTTTTAATGTATTTACAGTAGGAAATTTACAAAATATCTTCATGGAACATGATCTTTACTTAATATCCTAATGATGTTTGGCATAAAAGAAAACTGTATAATTTTGAGCCATACAATGTATTGTTGGCTATTGCTACAAATATCCCCCAGCGACTTAACACTGCTTTTGTGCTCCAGGGACACATATTACATGCGAGGCAGCGTTAACCAAAACATTTCCACATTAACACATTTTTATGAATTCTAAGTGCTTTCTGCCATTTCTTGCAGTTGCTTTCTTTACGAATCCCTTTTGAACAATGTTATTAATGATTAGAAGTAAGGAAAATGTCAGAAAAGTGCCTTTCTTTGAGAAGAGTAATGAGAGAAACTAAAGAGACCATAAACTATGAGGCTAGCTTGACAAAGCCTGCTCTGATAGTTTCCCTGACAGCACACGTACATCACAGAGACGTCTATTTGATGTCTGCATTACATCTGCAAGATGTATTTTTTTAGAGTGTTTGCTCATCTGCAATACGTCTATATTACGTGTCCTATCAGATGCCACATAGACGTTTAGAAGATGTCTTTAAGATGCTTATGATTTAGATTGAATGTAAAACTGACATCTTAAAGACGTCTATCAGATGTTTGTATGCAGCACATGCTTTCCAGATGAAGAGATCTTTAACAGACATCTTACAGACGTACGTGTGCTGTCTGGGTTAAGAGAGTTTTAAAACCTTGAAGTTTAAAGGTTTTCCTCAAGACAGATAAAATCAGAGGAACTCTGACTATTGAAAGACTATTTCGGACCCTATTAGACCTCATCAGACCAATAAGAAACTGCATTAAACAAAGCCATCAGCAAGTTTTACCATGTTGGCAAGCATTGCTAAAATACTGTAGCATGTTGCTGGTATTTGTTAGCATGTTGTTAACATTTAGCTAAGGGTTGCTAGCATGTTATCATGGCATTGTTAGCATGTTTTAACATGTTAGCATTTAACATGTTGCTAGGCACTGTTAACATGTTTTAACATATTAAGTGTTGCTAACATGTTTACCAAGCTTTGTTTGTCTGTTGTCAGCCTATTTTAACGTTGTTAGGCATTGTTAACATGCTAACATTAAGCTAAGTGTTGCTAGCATGTCCTCAGCATATTTTAACACATTGCTAGGCATCTTTAACATGTAGCATGTTCTTAGCATTTAACATTGTTAACCTGTTTTAACATGTTAACATATTGCTAAGTGTTGCTAACATGTTTGCGAGGCTTTGCTAGTCTGCGGTCAACATTTTAACGTTGTTAGGAATGGTTAACATTTAGCTAAGTGTTGTTAGCATGTTGCTAGGCATTATTAACATTGTTGACTGTTACTAGCATGTTGCTAGGCGCTGCTAGCATATTTTAACATGCTGCTAAGCATTGCGAACATGTTTTGCTAGCAAAGTAAAGTATAACCATTTAAATTTTTCAGTGAACTGTTCTTTCACTATTGACAGGTAATAAAATAGTTCTTACCTTTAAAATTTCATCTACACAGCTCGCATCTCCCACTGGACCCTGCAGGAACGAACGAAAGCATGCAGATCTTTGCGCACAGAATCATCAATCAAATATACAGTGTTGCTTCTGACCACAGGTCGAGTATAACTTAATCTGTTAAGTTGTCAAACCCTCGAGTAGAGCAATAATACATGCAACTTGCTAATGTTATTGTAAAGAGGTCATAACATTAGTATAGTAATAGGTCATTATTGTTTTCCTAAAGGTGCATGCTAAACGGTGGCATAAAGCCAGTAAAGTTTTGCAGTTTTATGCTAGCTAGCCAAAACATTGCAACGAATCCCAAAGAAAATGGTCTATTTTGATGTTTGAGTCATCAGGACAAACATTTGTATTCTGCTTTGTATAACTTACTTTTATGACTAAACAACTGCTGATTGCTTTTTTCTTCCATGCTATAAGTGTGTATGATCCAACCGAATGGCCAGGAATTGAAAGGCCACAGTTATACAACTAACTCACCGCGACACCTAGCATGTACACAAAAAATGCTTATAACTATTTATGGACACATTCAGAGTGACTTAAGACATGTCATAAAAACATGCATTTGTGCGACTTCTGTGTATTGTTATCAGAGGCACAAGACTGCAATGTGGTCAATGATATGTCTTTTTTTCCCCAGACCTATTAGTTTGTTCAAAAATCCTCTAGACATTTAGTGACTGACTGAGAATGCAAATCTCTGACAGTAGGTGGCGCTTACGTTACAGCAGAAATATAGCGGTTACCCCTTACACAAAGCAGCGCTGCACTTATAAACACTATATTCGGCATCATATGGAGGTGAGAAGAAAAATATGCAGTAACACTTTACTTTAAGCCTTTATATATAATTCTATTCATCCAGAAAGTATAATGCATTAAAAAAAAAGTATGTTATGATGCATTTTATGGTTATAATTATTTATGAAAAGATATAACACATTATAAATACCTTCATATTGCATTATAAATAAAGGCTTTTAGTAAAGTGTCACCAAAAACACTTGGTAAGACTTTAGTTTAGGGATCAATTCTCACTATTAACTAGCTGCTTATTAGCATGCATATTACTAGCATATTAGTGGTTTATTAATACTTATAAAACGCATATTAATGCCTTATTCTGCATGAGCATATTTTAGATCCCGTAATCCTCAAACCCCAAACCTAAACTTAACAACCACCTTACTAACTATTCTATCAATATTAGGAATTGGGAGTTTATTGAGGCAAAAGTCATAGGTAATAGTTAGTTAATACTACGAATTGGTCCCCAAACTAAAGTGCGAACAAAAACTTGTCTGAAGACAGTCAGTTCCTTTGAGATATAGATGAAAAACTCCAGGGATTTGTGAGAATCACATGAATAGCCTATTTCAATGTCAGAAAGACTAATTTTGCAACAAGTTCGCAGGTAAAACTTTCGAAAAATGAAAGGAGAAATCCACTGTCGTTTACCTTTGAGCTCTGTTTTACCGCAGTATATCAAGGGAAATTGGATTCATTATGATGTGATTCCTTTTATCAATATTAGGGGAAAAAAGAAAGCATACACGACTTACATCGACTGGCTGCGTCGGGATCTTGAGCTTGGTGAGGGAAGCCTTGCCACTGGGCTTCATTTCTCCCACCGCACTGCTGTGTGATTGACCGCCGTACGACTCCGAGGAGGTCTTGGGCTCGGCCGTTTCCCGGTCGTCCATGGGCCGCACATAAGCGGTGGGTTTTTGGATCATGGAGCTGGGTTTGATGAGCGAGGGCGGGAAGCTCTGGCTGGGATGCTGTCCGCTGGAGAAGGAATGAACTCTTGAGGGCGAGTCCCAGTTGGCTTCTCTGTCCCTGGGCGACTTGTTGCGGCCGCGCGAGTGTCCGCCGGAGCTCATGGAGCCCTTGGCCGGGCTGGAGTGGGATTTGTGCTCGGAGCCGTGCTTGCTGGACTTCTTGCTGCTGCTGTAGTCTCGCTCGTGCCGTTGACCGCCGCTGCTGGAGCCGCTACGCTGACTGCTGCCGTGGCTGCCCTGCACGGACGAGCGCTTCTGCGAGGGGGCAGAAGTTGAGGAGGACGAGCAGGACGAGGAAGAAATGCCACCGACAGGAGTCCATTTACTGTTCTGACTCTGGGTGCCTCCACGCTGGTCACCGTACTGGCCGGATTTATCGTCCGAGGAGGAGCTGGAGGCTTTGGGAATGAGCTTTGGCATTGGGGGTTCACCGATGGTCTCCTTCATCTCGTCGTAATTTCCCAGCATGCTCTGGATGCGACTTGAGAGTTTATCTTCCTTGCAGGACTGTTGGGAGAAAAGGACAAGGTGAGAAAGACTGGAGATGAGTACGAGAGCAACAACTCAAACACAAGGATTCAAGTTTGTGTGTGCCATTTTACAAACTTCAAAACGTGTCTATCACAGGGCTTCAGGCTGACTAAGGCCCCGATCAGACAGAACACGTTTTTCAAGTTTGAAAACACGAGGCACACCACACTGCCTTTTTGTGGTTGACTTTTTTTAATTTAGAAAAGAGCAGTGCACTGCATTATTTTAATGTTGCTAGGGAACCACCGAATCAGCTGTCCTGTCAGTCAAATGAAGGATTATAGCGCAAGCACTCTAAACTCTTTGGTTTGCCGTTAAGTAAACCGTCATATTAGCAGAAACTTTCAGGCCCGCCTCTCCATTCATTCGACTGGACAAAGGGGAAAAAAAAAAGTGAATGACTTCGGGCGAGTTGATTTATTTTTTCATCTTTAGGTGCTCCGAGCACTCCTACAAAAACACGAGGCGCACAAACAGCACACAAAATTCTCACTGCCAATAGAAAACCATTTTAAAAAGGTGCCTCTCGCTGCAAAAAACACGTTCTGTCTGATCGGAGCCTAAATGGTCACATTTTACAAACTTTTTTGCTGCTTAAAGTCAAACTGGTGCCACTACAATGTTCGCCAGCCCTCTTTAATTTACTGTAGTAATACTAACTCAATTAACCTTGGTATTTTAGAAGAAACATTGCATTTTCATATAATATTATATAGTTATTTTAGTGATGCACCGCAAATAAAAATTCTGGGCTGAAACTGGAAATTCAGGAAGCACTTGGCCAAAAACCAAAAATAAATATTTAATAATCAATTAATTTATCAACATTATTACATACGGTCAAGTTGTACAAACATTTAAATTGCACATAAGGCAGTATTTAATAACAGTGTTTCTACAATTTTCACAGATTTACTCAAACGTACATTAAATAATGAAGGTAACAGTTTAGGTAAAAATCTTTATGAATATGCAATATATTTAGCAAAATGCTGCTTTATGGTGTTATTTTTTCTAGCTGACTATTGAGTTTATGGATTTTGAATGCCTGTCCCGCGGTGAATGTGACTTTACATGACATTATTGTTTACGAGCGGTTTCAATGGCGTCTTTATTCCGTTGAATCACTGATTGAGACAACATTTCAAACCAAAAAATGCTCTTTCGGCCGCCAAAATGTGGGTGCATCACTGAATATTATTAAACTATGGCAGTTTCTGAATTGTATATTTTGTATTTGAAGTTTCTAAATGTCTTCGGCTACTGTTTTTATTATAAAACTCAGTTAAAGTTAATGTTATGAAAAATCATGCATGGTTTAGTCTGTGCTTACCATGGTTCTTATTACAAATACCACTGTTAAAACTACGGAAACCATTTAAATTACAATGGTAAATTTGGAGAATCAAAAGGTCTGTATCTAGCTTTAATTATTCTCTTCAGTGTAAAAACAGTCCTTTACTAGTGGATGTGTGTGTAAATATCCACTAAAATGTATATGACTTGAAACGTGAAGACAAATTAGTCAAAAAGACATCTGTAAACAACTCCTCAGCTGCTGGCAAAGTAGTTTTCATCTGCACGTTACACTGTGCTTCCATAAATCTAGTAATGTCAGAGACAGGAACATGGCCACTGTGGACATTCCCCATTTGTTTGTCTGATCCTTGCTACAATTAAACATGATTTAGAGACGATACTGAATCATATGACAAATAAGACACAAGGATTCAATATTCCCTGTCCTGTTTTATAACTTGATCTGTCCAGAATGTTTGAGTCAAGCGTACAGGAGCAGACCATTATGTGAAGTATTTTTTGCACTACTGCCCTCAATGAGTTCATCCAGAATAAACAAGTAGCACATCGCGTCCAAGCCCGACATGTCAAAGCAGGGGTTTTCCACTGTTAGTACACACCACTTCATCTTATCCCAGAGGGAATATGACGGTAATAACGGGACTGTAAGCTGTCTGTATTCTCTACCTGTCAGGTTGCATTTCTTGCATCCTATGACAGGTTCACCACCAAAGTAAAGCACTTACCGCTGTGCAAAGCTGGTTAGCGGCAAAGATTAGACTGAGAGAGACTGTAATCTTCTTTACTGTAACATATGCGACTATTATATACGTGTCCTTTTTCCACCCATTGCAGCTTTCTATCAGCCCAGTTTGAAAAAAAACCCATGAATGTAGAGTTTTAGTCCATTGATAGTATTTCACATCCTGAAATACTATCTAAAAAAAAGAGAAAAAAAAAAAGAAATAGGTCAGAAGGAATGCGATTAAATTAAATTGGTTTTTGCAGCAACTGATGTTGGATCACCTCTATACTAAAAATAGACTCAAATTATTAATGACACATTTCCACTCCAAACTTCATCCAATAAACTTTACAGAGAGAGTAGCAGAACATGGTTTCAAAAAACGAAAACAATAAAAGTCCTTCTGTATGTCCCGCCCAGACTTCCGGTTTAAAAAGGAAATGTGTCAACACAGCAAAGACACTGTGCTCGTCAGATAATTTCATGAGGTTTTTAAAATATTAAAGTTGGGTAAACATATCCAAAAACAAAAATAGCTAAATTTCCACTTTTCGACAACAACAAAGTTGAACTATAGGGGTGGAAATTGTGATAAATGTAACAATTCAAACATTAAATTCAAAATTAACAAAGCTTCAAAAGTTCTGACAGGTTCTTGTATGTTGTTGTGTGCAACCAACAAGGACAACAAAATAAAAGTATTATCTTGATATTTCATGGAACACTATTTTCCTCTCTCTCATCACTTGAGATCATCTGATGTAATTCCTTTGACTACGGCACTGTAAAATACGTTCCTCGATGACCAGTTCTTATCGGGAATGTTATTTCCTTACTCACACCTGCAAACTAAACCACACAATGCTTATCCCTGTATAACTAGACATTTGCTGAGCACTTACCACACATTTAGGACAAGAAGTTAACCCGCCACTAACTAGCAGACATTTTATATTAGCCAGACAGATTTATAATAAGCAACCATACTGCTGATGCATCTAACAATGCAAGTACTTACCTATAAAATGCCCTGTAATAACCGTTAGGGTTCAAATAGCAAATGAAACCCGTTTCGAGATTTTCAGCATTGATTGGAAACGGCTTCTAACGGTTTTCCTCCAAAACCTACCGCCAGCTGTCACCGGATAATGTTTAAATTTGGATGCATGTTTCAATTTAGCAATTACTTTGAAGCATCTTAGTTGCAATTCTGCATTTTATATAACGGCGATATCTTATTACACTGGCCTTCCTCTACACGTTGAAATTTTGGATGTAAAATAGAAGTCATCTTATAATTTACAGTGAAATTTAGAGACGTAAATTCCCAGTGTGAAAGTTTTTTAGGGTTAGGGTTTTATGTTACATCTTACGTTGTTTAATTAATGTTTATTGCATTATTTTAGAGTTTCCATGATGGTGTTTTGTATAATTTGTGCGCATGACACCATCCACTTTCTATATATTTTATATATACACATTATTTTTTTATATACATAAGGTGGTTGTCATTATATTATAAATGCTAAAAAAAAAACAGGTATTAGTAATTTGGTATATCAACATGATTTAATTTAATGAAATGTTTTTTTACAGTAAATTTAATTTGTAATACTTAATTTTGCTATGGCATTTTTACGGTAAAGTTCTGGCAAGCACAGCTGCAGTTCTTACTGTAAATTTCACAGGGTTTTTTTGTAACCATTAAAACACCCAAATCTCTCAAGTTTCCATGACGCATACATTTTTTCCAGTAATTACGTAATGACCAAAGTTGCTGTTTCACCTTTCCATGATGGTGTTTTGTATAATTTGTGCGCATGACACCATCCACTTTCTATATATTTTATATATACACATTATTTTTTTATATACATAAGGTGGTTGTCATTATATTATAAATGCTAAAAAAAAACAGGTATTAGTAATTTGGTATATCAACATGATTTAATTTAATGAAATGTTTTTTTACAGTAAATTTAATTTGTAATACTTAATTTTGCTATGGCATTTTTACGGTAAAGTTCTGGCAAGCACAGCTGCAGTTCTTACTGTAAATTTCACAGGGTTTTTTTGTAACCATTAAAACACCCAAATCTCTCAAGTTTCCATGACGCATACATTTTTTCCAGTAATTACGTAATGACCAAAGTTGCTGTTTCACCACAGTGCATTTATCAAGTGTTTGTTTTTTGCTTTTTTGCTAAAGAGCCAGATTAATTGTGCATAGAAGCCAAAAAGGAACAACCCAAGATTAGATGAGGTCTACAGGGCAAAATAATAAATAAATAAATAAATAAATAAATAAAAGATAATAAAATGGGGGGGAAAAAAAGAAGAAACAAAATGAACTTACTTTATAAGGTTCAGGAAAGAGGGGAGAGTTAGCTGGAAAGGCCTCAAAGAGCCAGATTAATTGTGCATAGAAGCCAAAAAGGAACAACCCAAGATTAGATGAGGTCTACAGGGCAAAATAATAAATAAATAAATAAATAAAAGATAATAAAATGGGGGGGAAAAAAAGAAGAAACAAAATGAACTTACTTTATAAGGTTCAGGAAAGAGGGGAGAGTTAGCTGGAAAGGCCTCTCCTCCCTGCTGGATTTCTTGATTTCTCCTTTCCCTTTCTTTCATACGGAGCATATTCCGGTCTTCACGGTTCATGTTGCTAACAACAGAGACACTAAGAGTCACTAAGCAATGAAGAATTAGAGAAAAATAGCTTCCTGACACCTTGATCTACACCTTCATCTTCCAAGATAAAGTTACATATTTGAACAACAAATGGAAACAAATGGACAGGATTACTGGAGACAAGCAGATGTGCTTTCCCTTCAGAAAACAAGACCTGGGCCATTTCTCAGAATAACAGACAACAGTCATGTAGCAGAACTCAAATGTTACAATTCAATTAGACACAGTTATTGGTAATACTGACTTTAATTCTGTCCATCTTTGTCTTACACTGCGTGCTTCGGCTAACCCAACATTATATTCATTATCTGCCCTGTGCGTCATTGCTAATAACAGGACTCACTAAAGTAGTTACACATTCAGCCAATATTTAGCACAATGGATGAAACGATATTCTATAGCACACAGAAACCTTTAAAAAAAGGTTGTTTCAAAAGTTAAGACATGAGACTGCTAACATTACAGGTTACGTGAGATATGTGGGGTGTGTTTGGTTCAACAAGGGTTGAGAAATCAATGGTGCGAAGTGAAGAAAAAGGAAGGAAGAAAGAAGAGTCATGGGTAAATTAAAGAACACTTTAATCAAACTGTTTAAAAGTAAAATAAATAAAAAAAATAAGTGTTATTACTGGGCAGTTAAATAGATCTCCTCATTTGCTTTCAGAAGGAAAGCATGACTGATTAGATCAGCACTGCGCGGCGTCACGTCGGGGGGAGGGAGTGTTTTTAGATGCAGTTTTCAGACGAGTCACGGTTGTTTCAAAAGTTAAGACATGAGAGACTGCTAACATTACAGGTTACGTGAGATATGTGGGGTGTGTTTGGTTCAACAAGGGTTGAGAAATCAATGGTGCGAAGTGAAGAAAAAGGAAGGAAGAAAGAAGAGTCATGGGTAAATTAAAGGACACTTTAATCAAACTGTTTTAAAGTTAAAAAAAAATAAAAAAAATAAGTGTTATTACTGGGCAGTTAAATAGATCTCCTCGTTTGCTTTCAGAAGGAAAGCATGACTGATTAGATCAGCACTGCGCGGCGTCACGTCGGGGGGAGGGAGTGTTTTTAGATGCAGTTTTCAGACGAGTCACTACTAGGGCCTTTCGCACTGCTTTAGTTCCAGAACTAAATGTACGGTACTAAAGTACTGGGATGATTTTGCGTGAACTATTTCCCAGTACCATTTAAAGGGTTGCATTCGCACCGACAGTGTGTACTAAGAAGTGACGTAAGCCGGTCGACAGCGACGTCATTTGTGCGCGGCGTTCAACAACGGAAACAAAGAAGAACAACGTTAACAACAGGAGGATGGAGGACGCTGTGATCGGAGCTGTGTCTCGCGGGTTTCACAATAATGGACATGAAATGTCGACGTATACGTAAAGCGATTGAAAGAACGGAAAGGAGGACTAAGAATCTCCAACGACAACTGGCAGTGCTACATTTGCTACAAGTGCCTGCACTTCAGCGTCCGTCCATCTATCGCTGTTCTCCATACTTGCGAAATAAGTCGACACAATGTTTACAGTATGTTTACACTGCGTTTTAACTCATGGCGGGTGAGGGCGTTTCCGTACGCGTTTGGCCAATCAATGTCTACTTACGTCACGATTAGTACCAGTTGTGCTGGTTAGACCCTGCTCACAGGAGCTAATTTGGTTCTCGAAAAAGGCAGCCGGTACTAAAATCGCACCCAGTTCCGGCGGTGCGAAAATGCCAAAAAGTGGGTAGTTCCACAATTACTTCTGGTACTATGAAAAGGTTCCTGCAGTGCGAAAGGCCCTATTGATGCATTAGATCCTGTCAAGGTAACAGAGAGGTTTATTTTGTGACGTTGATAGCCGTGTCGAGAAAGCGAAATGAATGTGCTAATAGGAGCGCATTTGCACGACAAAACCACTCAAATGACCAATGACACACACACTGCACTGCAACAAAATCCAATTAGTCAAACCATCTCTGACAAAGCATGAATTATCCTCTTTGATGAACCGGTGTGTACACCTAAACCTTCTCTCCACACTGCTTATTAAAACACCCAACAGCTCAGGGCCCCACTCCGTCATAATATACTCGCCTCCTTATTGTTTCAACCTGTATGGCTTTCTAGCTTTACCCGTGTTAAGTGTAATGACGTAAGTTTCAGGATTTCGATTAATCAGACATGCAATTTTTTATTTAACCTTAAAATGGAATCCAGACAAATAAAAACAGAAGATATGGAATTTGGGAAAAAATTTTACGCAGACAAGAGAAGTATACTTTGGGCTTGACGTACATAGTTTTGCAAATACGAACTTTCCACATTACGATCTCTCATACGACATGCAAGAATCAAACTGTGTTCTGCAACACTCCAAATCTGGCCTGAAGCATAGTCACATGACACATTAAACTCAATCCTCTACAATGCATGTAAATCACTCACATATGCAACTACATTTCCACGATATGCGACTACATAATGTCTATCATTAGCCACTGGCTAATACATTGTTAGATTTCACTTGTCAGTGTTTCCGTTAGAGTGAAGGACAAGCAGAAGAAGGTTCCTTCAGTAGTGGGCGGAGCTAATCCACAAAACGCCAATCCCTTTGGCTAAATTTAGACCTTAGCATGTTTTATGTAGTTATTAGTAGTAGAAACATAGTATTAACATATCCAAATTATTGTTATTTTTGTTTTACTAAAACATTGAATGACCAACAATGTCTCAAGCACCACCACCAGACCGAAGTTCAGTTAATATGACAAATATAAAAAAAAACATGTTCACAACATTTTAACACGTTTGGGTTCTACTTACTGAAGTTCTATCAGAAAATGCTTGCTTGATTTTTCTTGTTAAAAGTGTAGTTCTTCTTGCAGATCATATCACATATGAATGTATCTTAGTAAAAAGCTGTGCCATTTTACGAAGATAAGCTAATTTGTGTGTGTGTGTGTGTGTGTATACAGGGGCAGTGCCTCCTCAAAAAATTGGATGAAAAACATTTGTACTACAAAAATACAAATTCTAATATTACAAAATATATAATTAAAAAGTGCATAAATCACTAAAGTAATACTGTCCTACAGCGACGCCAGCACGTCTCTCTCGTCTCCCCTGAGCCCATTGAGTTTTAACAGACCCACTAAAGCGTGCGGTGAGTTTGGTGGGGGGTAATTGAGAATGAATGAGGGAAAGTCACATTAAAGGAGGCAATGATATGATTGGATATAACTGATTATGATCAGCTATGCTTGGTTCATGAGATAAATCCCGCCTCTTGTGTTCATGCACATTCTGCGTTCACGAATCAGTCTGAATGAACAATATAATGGCATTAATGGGAAGACTAATTAAGAAGTAAACAACTCACACACTTAGATATATAATCACTTTCTTACATCAAAAAAAGACTTGAAATCAGCTTGGTGAAATTTAAAAAGTAAATCTCTGTGTCTGTGACCAATATTTACCGAGCTTTGATGACTGATGATCCGAAAAATTCAAAAATAGTTAAAAGTTAGCTATTAAAAATAATAGCTGAAGATAAGTTCACAAATAAAATATATTGTTTAAATTGTTGCGGCCTTGAGTTATTATTTTGACGGTAAACCGCTTAAAAACACTAATTTGATGAGTTTTGGCTTTAATAAATAGAATATTGATTACATAGTTAATGTAAAAATATAAAATAGATTAGTTTTTTAAAGAAGTCTAATGTTTGTTCATCAAGGCTTCATTTATTTGATCAAAAATACAGAAAACCGTAACATTGTGAAATTATTATAAATGATGGTTTTAATTTAATATACTTTAAAAACAATTTATTCCGCTGATGTAATCTGAATTTTCAGCATCATTACTCCAGTCTTCAGAGTCACGTGATCTTCAGAAATAATTCTAATATGCTGATTTATTGTCAATGTTGGAAACAGTTGTGCCTGCTTCATATTTTTTGGGAACCTGTGATACTTTTTGATGAAAAAAAATGTGAAAAAGAACAGCAAAAGAAAGAAAAACATTAATAACCCCAAACTTTAGTGTATATTGTAACAAAAGAGTTCTATTTTAAATAAACAAAACAAAAACAATGTACTAGCCAACAGCAATTCGATTGCCAAGGTGTGCACAGAGGGTTGATACTATACTAAAAATTAACTTTCAATTTTTGGGTGGCCTAACCTTGTAAGAAATGGCAAAACCTGGTTAAATCCACATTTGAGAGTGTTAGATACTGTTAGTGCGGCTCTCTTGCCGTCTGCAGGGCTTTAAATCCTATGATGCAAATGTCAAACTGAGGCCAGGGTGGTGATCATACGACAGTCAGCACGTATGCTGGGAAGTCTCTCATTTGACTGGAATGATTCGATTTCTAGAGAGTGGGCAAGAATTACTTTTATGTTTTGATTTGGTCAGAGCATTAAATGAGTGTGTAACATTAGGTATAGACGTCTTACATTTTTCACACTGATTTCTACACATGCTCTATCCTGAAAAGCATTTTTTGTGCATGCTCCCCCAAATCATTTTGATATCTTCATATTCAAAGGTGCTTCAGACCGTAATATAATCCAGATTATGATCGGTCAGGCCTGTCTAGAATATTCTTTGGCAAAGCTGCTACAGTGCACTGCTCATTTCAAGACCAATTTAAAAGACAAGATTCAGTTTGGAATTAAAGTCTGTGAAATAAAACTAATTAAGAGACGAACGCTATGTAAATTGTTACGAGGAGGCCTAAAACTTTGCCGTGACTACTACAGGAGTTACTCACTGAGAACATGGCTGGTGCTTACCCTGACTGAGAGGCCATGGCCTCAACCAATGAAGCATTGGAAGAGGATTGAGAGAGAAGATTCCAGACAACTTGATGGTTCTTCCCAGCTTTGGCTCCCTCTCGTTTAGTAGCGTCCACACCGGAGACACAGTTTCTCGATCGGCAGCTTTCACACTTCAGTCTTCGCTGCTGTATTTCCTGGGAGTTGAGATAAACCTGACTCAGGGAGGGGAGGTTACAGTCTGTCTGAGGAACAAACCACTGCGCTGAACAGAGGAGGCACAGCTACAACATGCAGGTCAGGACTAACTAAGGCATGAGGATCTATACCAAACCTACAAATCTTAGTAACCACTGGACCATCAAAATGGAAAAAAAAAAAAAGTTAACCAAATAACCAAAAAGTGTACACTAATAACAAACTCGTCCTTCTATATTTTATCAATATTACATCCACATGAAGTAACAAGTTGCCTACATAAATCTTTTCGCTGAGAGCAAACACCCCTCCGAGTGCTGTGGAGAATGGTGCAGTCCACCAGAGCCCATTTAAGGACATGTTATTTTATGCCACTCAGCCACTCCCCTCTGTGACATTAAGAGTCGCAGCAGCCAATCAGCTGCTGTCTCTCAGTAAACGCATGCCCTCCCCCACTTGGGTCTGAGCCAACACCATCAGTCAGTGTCCTTAAAGGGCCAGATGCAGTTTTTCACCAAGTCCAGAGGGAAAGCACGTCAAAAACATTAGTAAACCCAGGTGGTGATGAGGCAATTAGATGCAATATGGGAATCACCAAAAACAATTGTGTCTCCCCGGTCTGGGTCCAGCTGCATAAACATAGCCACTATGTTAAGACTATGTCTTTAGTTTGACCAACTAGCGGTTAGTCAAGTCTTAATCAGTCTTACTTTACATATTACACCAGTCATGACCAGTCTTACCAGACTAACTTTTTAGTCAAAGCAGTTTATGCAACCAGCCCCTGGTAATAGCTTGCATCTTGATCGATTTCATCTCATCAAAATCCTACATCATATAGTGTATCTGAAGTCACGGTAACACTTCAGTTTAGGCAGCAATTCTCACTATTAACTAGCTAATTATTAGCATGCATATTACTAGCATATTGGCGGTTTATTAGTACTTAAAGCACATATTAATGTCTTATTCTGCATGATTATATTTTAGATTCTTTAATCCTAAACTAACAACTACCTTACTAACTATTAATAAGCAGCAAATTAGGAGTTTATCGAGGCAAAATGTGTAGTTAACAGTTAATTATTAGTGAGAACTGGTCACAAAACTAAAATGTGACCAAAGTCACTATAACAAGTGAGTTCTGAAACATTCAACATTTAGGGCTGGGTAATATATCTATATGTGTTCGCTCCGAGGTTTGTAAAAGTTCAACTGAAACCATTTAATTTTACATAGTGACTTGGTATAATGCTAGGGGGAAAAAAATATGATGCTAGGGGGAAAATTATGTGAACAAAAAGAGATACACTTCACTAAACCAAGTTGGTCGAAAGCGCACAACGCTTGCCCCGCCTCCGGGCTCTTCTGATTGGTCCACTGTTTTGGAACTGACATTAATGAGCGGCGCTGCCTTTAAAAGTTGAAATTCTTTAACTTGACACGGCGTCTTAAAAATGTGGCACTCATGTGCGAGACGCTGCAAAACGACGTGAAAGCAATAGTCTCACATGTAATGCGAAAAATGATGGAAATGTTGTGCATTGGAATGGAAAAACATGTTCTGTGTGAACGGCCCCTTAGGATAGAGGATATAAAAAATAAAAATTAAAAAAAGTTTTAAGACTTTTGACCCTTCCTCATAATTCTATATGATTGTCCTTTTTGTCATTGTGTTAGGACAAAAGTTTTTTTTTTTTTTTTACTAAAACATTAACAAATGACAGTGATTGATGAATATTTGAGATATGAATCTCATTTATTGAATCAAGCTCATCAACACTGAACTTTCTTAGAAGTCACAAGTTGACACTAGTCTGATGGTTATATTCACGTGGTTTCTTAATTTGATATCGCTGGCAGCACCATAGTGAATATTGTGTCCACCTTATTTTTCCTGTAAGAGTGGGAAACTTTGTGTGTCTGGTTTCCGGTGTCATTCGCTTCCAGCTATTTTTAGCTGTACAAAACGGCTCGTTTTGCTGCTTGATATTGCATATTGGTGTCTTACCATATTATTTTAATGTATTATCTTAATTCTAAACACACTGGTTTGTAGTGCAAACAGTTTTACCGTCTACTGCATGTTGCTATTCTTCTCGTTATTTCCCTACAGCGGCTAATGAACCGGAAGTCTCGCGCACAGGCTTAATTCTGCGTTGAAGAATAAGGTGGATATATTTCTTATATCCTATTCATCACTGTACAACTTAAAGTGCACATTTATGGCTGTTCGGTAAATTTTCATAAGCGGAATCCAGTCATTTCAATAGGAATACATGTGATCGGTAATTTCACATGAGGGTGAAAGACTTTCCCATGCAACTGGTGAACTGCTCATTACTAATCCAAGCTGACCAACAGAACGCTGCTGGGTTGGAAAGACATCACACATATTAATACAATACTGGAAGAAGTAAATGGACCATTTTTGCTTGTCAATCTGAGCAAAACACAAGATCCCTAATTGCTTTAATAAGATAAATCAACACGCGTCAGGCTTCCAACATCTTCTCCAGTGAGGTAAACAAGATCCTTAAGCTTTTAAATTAGGACATGCATGGTTATGTAACATGCAAATAAAGTTAAGGATATAACCAAATTGTGTGTTTTTTTTTTTGTTTGTTTCCTTTGTTAAAATGCTAAAATATTCTAGAAGTTGAGAACATTTTAGTTGTTGTAAAGCAATATTCCTTTACCACTGGGAAATATTCTGCCCCAATTTTATGAAAATGATCACCATGCTTGAAAGAAGTCTGTGCTTGTCTTAATTTATAAAGTTTATAAAGCATAGAGAGAAAATATAGCACTTATGTCAAATTGGACATGTACTTCTATAGATAATACATTTTAAGGCTGACTTTTAGGACAACGCTATTTGTACTGCAATAACCTGACAGTAAACCACGCGCACATCTGTGCAATATTAACTTTTTTTTAAAAAGCCCTTTGCACTCAACTGTAAAAAATTAACACCATTTTTCTGAAGGTACTGGCCCTTCCATATTGGTGTTAGGTGAACAGACCGCCAGGGATATCTTGACTTTATATGTGACGATATCTCTCAGGATTGTGTACTCAGGGCGTGTGCCAGAGTCACGCACACAAGCTACCAACCCAGAGCCTGGTGCATGTGCTGACTGCTTTACAGTCTGTGTTTCTGAAGTATGTTTACGATGGGGGAAAATTGGGAAAACCTGGGGCAAAAAGGGCTGTGATTTTGTGAACGACTTTAGCAAACAACCCAATTTTGATAGTAAACCATAACATGAAAAATCTGGGCAATATGTTGGTTAAAATGATATATAATGATAAATACAAATCCAATTTTCCAGTTTGAATTTGAAGAGAGAGAAAACAATAACAGTGGAAAGCCTTCAATTGTGTTGTTCTGTCTTATCGTCAAGTTATTCTGTTTGACCAGTAAGTGTTGGAAACAGGACTTTTATTTTGACAGCACTGAGAACACTAACGTCTCGGCACAGTAGGGTTGTCAAAAAAAAAAAAAGACAAAAAATGATTTCTGAATATTCGTCGAATTTAAAATAAAAATCCACATTCGAATTCAAAAATGTTGCATTCGAATTTTAGGTGTGCGTCAGGCAGTATTATCAGTGGCGCACGAGATGCGACGATGTATGTGTCATTGCATTTTAATGCTTTTGTTAGTCTATCCAGTTGAACCCACTAGATGCGGCGCTGCTACGTTGTTCATTCAAAATATTGCGAGAAAAAAAAAAAAAAAACATCAATGCGGAAATTGTTGTTTACGTCAAAACCGAAACCAAGTCATTCACACAGAACACATTTATCACATTTTCTAGAGGGACATCTATCAGCGTTGCACCTGCGTCTCGCACAAGAGAGCCGCATGTTTAGAAAGCCATGGAAAATTAATGTAAGTTCAACTTTTTAAAAACATGTCTCAAGACTTTATGGCGGTTTTCCCCATCCCACTGCATCTCATGTTTTTAAATGAAGAAAGTACTCTTTGTGATTGGTTTTCGGTCCTTTGTATTAAACTGTACATACATACATACATACATGATGCTGTTTCGTTTCTAATTGTTTAAGTAACTTTAATTATATAAGATTTATAAACATTATTTTAAAAATTATGTAATTTTTTCAAAGATAGTCATGTTATTTTATTATGCTTTGAAGAAACGTGCATAATATTTAGTTCGATGCGCCCTCTTGTGGCCTCAGGAGAGAAGCCAAAAGCTTTATTCCCCCCTAACTGAAATTATGCCTTTTAAACTTGAATATAATTCGAATATTGATCATATTTAAGTACAAAATTCGAATGTAGTTCAGCCCTATGGCACAGACGTATAGGAGTTTCCTTTGCTCCGTCTTCATTAGTTTACAGTCTTTATTTAACAGTTCTGTCCAATAATTTAAAGCAAAGTACTTTTTGCCAAATACTATCGGCATTCAACAAATACGCATTTTAATAAATCTAATAAACATTCAATGCCACACATATTGCAAACTTTGTCAAATCCATCAGTTAGATGCATGTGCGATATATCCAGTTTGCCGCTGTCATATTCATGTAATATTCACTGCGTACTGTACGTGAAATTATTTGGGAAAATACGATTCCCAGTGTGCACAGACTTGTGTACTGTTAAAGTGTTCAATCATTCGTGTTTATATCTTTATTGTCAATATAATAAAATGACAGAATCAATGTTTCTATGTGTAAAGAACAAAAAATAACTTTGCTATAGGTTTATACAGTATAATGACCTCTTGTGTTAAAAGATCAAAGAAATGTTGATTTCTGAATGCATGACCCCTATAACTGTAACTCAATCATCTGGAAAACTTTCCATATTATATGCACAGGAAACTCGGGCACAGCAACAAAAATAGTCGATTCAATCTTGGAAAACAAGCTTTTATTCCTTTTACAGACTGGGACTTTACTGCAGTAAATGAATGATTGCAGCTTTTCTGAGCTCATCCAGCCCTGCTTAAGCTGCAAACAACACCACCAAAAGTAAAAAAAAAAGTTGTTCTCAAAAATAAAAAGTCGTAGCATGGCCTACATGCTGTAGAAGC